TGGTTTTGGTATGGGCTTAGAAAGTGCATTCTATAAGATATATAGCAAATAAATAAATATACTATATATAAAAAAAAGATTCAAATAATCAAAATTTACCTTAAAAACTGGATCCTTTATAAGTAAAATACATTTCGTACATACTTGTTCAATTCGGTTAGTATAAATTTCACATTCTGAGCTACATATATATAAACCTTTTTGATCAATATTCTATTTAGATCTTGCCAATAGTTCATCATTAAGTCTTTTTGATTGATTGGAATTAAGCTTAGAATAAGAAAATTTTGTATCTTTTGTAAACTTGTTCGGAAAAAGTTCTTGTACTACTACTTTGGCAAGTGGGGCTCTACCAGATATTGTAAAACCACTAACTCATTCAATATATTTAAGATGCTTCTCTTCACATAAGCCGAAACATGGATATCTTTTATTAGATGGTCCGTCTTGAGAATTAAAAACTGCAAAGAATTTTCTCAAATCTAGAAATCCTTTGTTTTTAATACATTTGTTATTAGACACATGGGATTCAATTCGTGACTTATCATAATTTCTTTTTAGTTTAACTGATCTTTTGCAATGTTTGCATCATACGCATAGTGGACTTAAAATTTCGAGTACATCTGGATGACTAGCCAACTCTGCTTGCTAACAATGCAAACCTAATTAGATAGATATTAATATAAATAACATATTTGATACTATTCTTACCTTTTCTAAAATAGTTTTTGCATTCATTCCACGATTTTATTTTTTTTAGGTATAAATTCTTCAGAAACTGATCCATTATTTGAATACTCATTGCCTGTTTCATATTCATCGTCTGTTTCATAACAGTCTGGCAATTCATTATCAGAAAATTCAGTTGAAATAAACATATCTGTTGTTTCATATTCATCGGATATTTCATAATAGTCTGGCGATTTATTATCAGACTATGAAAATTCAGTTGAAGTAAGCAATAAGTCTAAATCCATCAAAGAAATTTAATTGTGACAAAAAGTGTTCATATAACCATAGAAGTCTTTGATTATAAAAGATATTCTTAACCACAACAATTTTTTTTTCTTTACTATAGCAAAGCTTCTGATCATGGCAAAAGCTCTAAATACAAAAAATTTTTTGATACTGGCAAAGCTTTTTAGTTTCAGGAAGTTTCTGATTAAGGTAAAACTTTTAATCATACAAAATTCTTGACCACTTTAATCATGCGAACCGACACCTTCAATCACTCGTAATTTTTGTTAGAGACAAGGTCTTGACTGCAGCAGAACTTCTAACCACGAAACTTTTGGCTGCTTTAAATTTTTACTATGCGAAGCTCATAAAACTTTACTAACAAATAAAATTTCAAAGTAACGAAATTTAAATATTTTATTTCAAATTATCTAACC